GCTGGTGGGGAGAGACTAAAGGATTGAAGTTGTAATGCTGGAAAGAGGGGGTGGTGGAGAGAGACTGAAGGATTGAAGTTGTAATGCTGGAAAGAGGGGGTGGTGGGGAGAGACTAAAGGATTGAAGTTGTAATGCTGGAAAGAGGGGCTGGTGGGGCAAGACTAAAGGATTGAAGTTGTAATGCTGGAAAGAGGGGCTGGTGGGGAGAGACTAAAGGATTGAAGTTGTAATGCTGGAAAGAGGGGCTGGTGGGTAGAGACTAAAGGATTGAAGTTGTAATGCTGGAAATAGGGGCAGGTGGGGAGAGACTAAAGGATTGAAGTTGTAATGCTGGAAAGAGGGGCTGGTGGGTAGAGACTAAAGGATTGAAGTTGTAATGCTGGAAAGAGGGGCTGGTGGGAAGAGACTTAAGGATTGAAGTTGTAATGCTGGAAAGAGGGGCTGGTGGGGAGAGACTTAAGGATTGAAGATGTAATGCTGGAAAGAGGGGCTGGTGGGGAGAGACTAAAGGATTGAAGTTGTAATGCTGGAAAGAGGGGCTGGTGGGGAGAGACTTAAGGATTGAAGATGTAATGCTGGAAAGAGGGGCTGGTGGGGAGAGACTAAAAGATTGAAGTTGTAATGCTGGAAAGAGGGGCTGGTGGGGAGAGACTTAAGGATTGAAGTTGTAATGCTGGAAAGAGGGGCTGGTGGGGAGAGACTTAAGGATTGAAGATGTAATGCTGGAAAGAGGGGCTGGTGGGGAGAGACTATATAACTGAAGTTGTAATGCTGGAAAGAGGGGCTGGTGGGAAGACTTAAGGATTGAAGTTGTAATGCTGGAAAGAGGGGCTGGTGGGGAGAGACTTAAGGATTGAAGTTGTAATGCTGGAAAGAGGGGCTGGTGGGGAGAGACTAAAGGATTGAAGTTGTAATGCTGGAAAGAGGGGCTGGTGGGGAGAGACTTAAGGATTGAAGTTGTAATGCTGGAAAGAGGGGCTGGTAGGGAGAGAGTTAAGGATTGAATTAACAATACTGGGAATAGTTGCAAGTGTGTAGAGCCTTAAAGATTGATGATGTGATACGAGGGAAGAGCTGGTAGGAAGTGACCCTACCTCAAAATGATCCTGACTGTATACAGGACGATAAGCTAACAAACAAGAAAACTTGCATAAAGTGGTTTAAAGAATTGAATCAAATAACAATCAGGAAACAGGACTATTCAAAACAATATTCTTTATGGGTGCTAAAATCTTTCACGATTTATCTAGTAAAAATTTTATTTGTCATAGGATACTAAAATATTTTCTCGATATCTTCTGAAGTACATAATACATAGAATTGATCTGGGACGTCTGAAGGTTGTAGTCGTTAACTCAAAAATATTGATACAGAATATTGTAAGAAAGCCAAGGCCCTGTAACACTGAGAGGTCATTCCTGTATTGACTGACTGCCGGTTCTTGGCATCTGATGTGTAAGTTGACCTTCCTGACCTCCAGCAAGCTGTTAGAATAGCCCAAATGAATGATCAAAGTCCCAAAGCTGGATTCTTGGGGTGAGGAACATAGAACATATATTTTATGTCATGACACAGAATTAGCACTAATGTTCTTAATCCCGTTTGACCATAGTTGAACCATACTGTTCCAAGTTCAGAGGATAGATAACAGGACTGAAAGGAAATATGATCTGATTATAAACAAATTGATCGCAAAAAAAGTCGTCATAACAGTCATAATATTATGTTCTTTTGGATAAGATATTCTCTGATCACAATATGTTAGAAAATTCATTAGTGACATTTCGATGACAACTTCACCTTCATCAGACAAATTATGCAGCGTGAAACATATTTCTATTGAGATATATCAATTGTATTGAATCTCATGATATTTCAAATCTAATTTTATTCTTGAAGGCTAGATTTTTTGCAAAGCTTTTTAAAATTGTGGGGATCTTAAAAAACAGGGACTATCTCCTTCACTTCTACAGACACATCTCTATGGTACATCACTGTTGCCTCGCCGGTCATGACAGACCTGATGTCTGTGAAGGTGCGGGTATTGCCACACAAAGTTTCAAATTATTTTGTATATACATCAAAATTTCTAGGTTGACTTCTCTAAAATTTACCTGTCAAGGTTACTATATGAATAGATTTGTGGCGATCAGCACTTCCCCTGTAATATTTTAGTTTGGTTTTCAATTTTTAGAATGCAAACTTCCAAAATTTCACTTAAATTGCTCACATTTCACAACGTTGTGTTGTTCAATGGAATCTACAAAGGACTACAGTAAGATAAAAGTTGCCTGTATGTATCAATATATCACTGAGGTAACAGGCCATCTGTCATCTGGTTTGTAATGTACAACAGGTAGTGTTACCTGTGTACTTGTGTAGCCTTTCTCACCTCTATCCATCATTACCCTATCGTTAATTTGTATGTAAAATGTAAACGTTAGTAAACACATTGATGTTGTTATTTATAGTAACAGCAAAATACTGGTAAAGAAAGAAACCTTTTTATCATTTCTTAATAGTATTGTCACCATTGAGAATAAACACTTTAAATAAGCATGACCTTGAGAACAAGGTCATATATCAACAGTGGGCAGATTTGTTATCCTTTTTTTTAGCAGTAGCAGTTTTTGACAAGATTTTGATAGCAAAACAGATTGGTGACATCGCACAAGTTATGACATTGTATCAGATGTAAGAACTTGATAGCAGAACAGATTGGTGATAACACACAAGTTATGGCATTGTATCTGATGTAAGAACATCATAGCAGAACAGATTGGTGACATCGCACAAGTTATGACATTGTATCTGATGTAAGAACATCATAGCAGAACAGATTGGTGACAACACACAAATTATGACATTGTATCTGATGTAAGAACATCATAGCAGAACAGATTAGTGACATCACACAAGCTATGACACTGTATTTGATGTCAAATCTATTAAATCAGTAGTGATTGAACAGTCAAAACTACTTGTAGGAGTAAGCAAGCATGCAACTGATCAGAGAAAGAATACCTTTGATTGTACAAAATACCTGATATAGTACATCTGTTGGTAATGTACATATACTCTTATGAACTTGCTACCTACCACAAGATTACTGATATCGAAAAATCTAATCTGACACCTATGGGACATAGTATGTATAATCTGACACCTTTGGGACATAGTATGTATAACTTGACACCTGTGGGACATGGTATGTATAATCTGACACCTGTGGGACACAACCTGTCAGTGAGATTTGCCTGTGTATTCTGACACCTGTGGGACACAACATGTCAGTAAGATTTGCTTCTGCAATCTGATACCTGTCTAACCTGGCACCACTGGATAACACAAAGTCAATGAAACAAGGCAGTGAGATTTACCTGTCTGATCTGAAGCCTTGTATTCATGCAATGGTTTGTCCATATTACAGACTTCTTCTTATGAGCTGTAATGCCTAGAATCATGATGTTAATGATCTATGGCTTATTCATCTGTAGAGGACAGGTTGCAAATTTGGTCCAAATATGACCTTGACCTTCTTATGCCTTGTATGTTAAATGCTTCAAAGTGAGTATAATAAGGTTGTCAGATGATGGATGAAAACTATCATCTCCAACATGATTTATTTGTGTTTAAATTACAAGGTAGTGAGAGTCAAAACATAAGAAAAAAAAATCATCAAATTAGTTGTTAAAAAAGTACAGCTTTCATATGAGGAATATATGATACAATGTAATGAGAGATGATTCATGTTTTATTATCAAACAATAGTTCAGTGTCATCAGTATAGTACAGACAAGACGATGTATTTAGTAATCATTGCATGGCTGAGAATTGGTTATAAATAGAATCTATTACAGACTATCATCTGTGATAATGAATTGTAATGGTCATGTCTGTCACCAGGCTAGACAAGACTTAACCAGGAATATTTACACTAAAACACCATTCCTGTGCTGTGGAGGCTGATTTCGTTTATTTAAGGAACAATATATAGTCTGTGTAACTCTCATTAGTCATTACAAATATATCTTTGGTGTAGAACTGCCTCCAGCCCAGGGTCTCATCACACTCACCTCTGCCCAGGACAAAGCTGGATGTATGATACTGTACTAGCAATGCTGTATAGAAATACAGGCTGCCAATATTGGCCTCGAAGGAGCAATAAAAACATTACAATTCTTCCCTTCTTCCATTGGTCATACCTAATGGGAGTTTGATCCAGTGTTACTATTAACAAAACCAAACATGTTGAAACATCATTGTTGAACTGTTATTTCAGGTACTAGTTGGTATTTACAATATGTAACTCCATTTGTAGCAGGTCCAACATCTTTAGATAGTAAGCAATGACAGTTACAGTTGCTTTACATCAAGGGTCCATTTGGGCTGTTGTCTGCCCATTGTGTTTCCTTCCCCTAGGGATTCTTGAATTTTTCCATGAATATTGAATGTTTCGGACCATAACCCCTCTTACTCCTTAGTTATGCTTGTTTGAATTTTAGGCAGCAAGATGTCATCCTTTGACAAAGTTTGTTATTCCTTTTTGTCATAGAGTACTTGATGAATAATTTGTAAATTGTGTATTAAGCACATTTAATTGGTCCTAACTTGTGCATGCTGAGTTTGACATTGAGATCGGATTCTATATCGATTCCAGTAGATAGATCAATTGACAGACTGACTTTTGAACTGACAAGTGGTATTGTTGACAGAATTATATGTCCAACAGATAAAAGAAGAAACATCTGATGTTTAACTGATGAAGATGTTATCAAAGTTTCTTTGGGATCTCCTATAAATCTGTGAGAAAGCATTGAGTGATGAATTGTACTTCAGTTATTAATTTAAAAGAAAATTTTTGAGAGATCCCAGTAAATCTGTTCACAGTGAGAATTCATTGAGTAATGTAATTTGGTTAATAGCTTATCAAAATGTTGAATGCATGTTCTTTACTTGTCTAAAAATGCTTTTTCACGATTCTGTTTTGTCTTTACAGGAGATTGTGGTACAGGAGGTAGATGAAGGACAGCCATGTTTGGTGTGTGGGGACCGATGCTCAGGCTTCAGGCAACACAAGTGGAGGTAAATTTCATATCACGATCAAAAGGAATTCAGATTAGTATCAGATGTAATCTGTTGTCCATCCATCTGTCCATCCATCCATCTAGCTGTCCATCCGTCTGACAACTATGATCTTCCTCTAGAAAACTATAAGCAGCTAAAAACTGATATTTGATCAGGAGGACTATTTAGGTTGGAGTACGCATATTTTTCTCATATGATTGAACGTTTTTTCAATGTCACAAGGGTAGAATAGTTTAATACCCATTAAGAATTATCATTCCAGAAGATGAAGGTTACTCATATTTGTTCAGGTAAAACATGGGATAGAGTTTTCTGAAGTTCTGCCCTGACCCTATTTTTGAATTAAGACTTACCTTCAAGTTCACAGAGGTCAAATATGCTAAAGTTGAAAAATCTTTTCTTGAAAATTGGGTGTCAGGTGAACTTTGTGTTATTGAAGATTGAGATTGTGGCTTTTGATGCAAATATCTCTGAAAAAATTTGCTGATTCTTGTTTCCTATCTATGCTTTGTGAATGCCATTTTAGAACACAGTTGTCTCCCTTTATAGATAACTTCATCTAGTGCCAGCTAGTTATCAATACTTGCTTTGACATGAGAAAAATTGAACCAGAGAAGCGCTGTTTTGTCAATAAAAATCCAGGCCTTTGCTCTCTATCAATTTATTATCATCCATAAATATGGTTTGAAAGCACAATATTACGTAAAAAGGAAATAAGATTTCCCCTCGATCATCTCTTCTTAATCAACAAACTGTCATTGGTCAATGATGGATGATCCTATAAAGCAACCTATTGACCAATCAGAAATCTCAAAACTGGTTAGTGCAGCTCCATCAGATATATACTCTATTTGAAGCATTGCTTTCAAAACAAATCATGTAGCTACGCATTGTGATAATATCAATTGTGTCATTTGATATTACCTTGAGTGTAGTGTAACATGATGATAACTTCATAAGTCTGTTTATTGTGGCAGAATGATGTAGCATGTAAGAATCTTGGATTGATATTATAGATCATTGTGAAAGGTCAAAGGTCGTTCCATATATAAAAAGTCATTTCATAGATGATTTCCTGATAATGAATGAATATAATGCAGGAATTTATTTACCTTTAAGATATTTGTTGACAGTGGTAAATCTGTACTGTGTGTGCTAGCCCATCATCATCAGATAGAATCACACAACATCTGTAATTCATCATCCCACATAAGTCATCTGTCGTCCTTTGTCCATCAGTCAATCCATCCATCTATTTCTCCATAAGCAGTTTTGTTTATTGAAAAGTACAAGATTGATCTTTCTTAAATTTCCTGTGTAGATTTCCTGATGTCCTTTGTTGTGCCTGTTAAATTTTTAGACTGATCAGAAAATGGCTGACAAATGATCATCTTTGATTTTAACATGAAATTTTGTTGTTACCAGTATGTCTTGAGAAGTACTTGATGTATCTTCCTCAGATCTAATATTATGAGCTCCTCTTTCTTCCTTGTATTTCCCAATCAGTTTTAGGACTGAACAGAAAAACAAGATGGCTGACAGTTAGCCATTTTGTATTTTGACAATTAAAGTTTGTTTTCACTATTTCTTAGGAATACAGGATGTTTTTTCTCAAATTTCCTATTTAATTTACACTAAGTTCCTAGTTATGGCTGAGAGGTGGGTATACTGGATTTTGACTATAAAGGTCTGTTACTGCTATTTCTTGAAAAGTACAAGACAGATCTTTCTGAAATTTTGTTTGTAGGATCCCATTGGTCCCTTGTTTTGGCCGTTTCATTTTTAGACTGATCAGGAAAACAAAATGGCGGCAGGCAACCATCTTGGATTCAGCAGTTAAAGAATATTATTCCTACTTCTTTGAGGGATTTTTAAATGTCATAAACAGAGGGAAGAAAAAAAAAGAAAGGAAAAGATCCAACTTTTAAAGAACAAATAAAGATTATATGATGATTGGCATCAAGGTCTCTCTGGGGTCTGTTGTGTATGGATAGATACAGATAGACCTTGATGGTCAGGTTGGAATGGGAGGTAGATCAGAAATTTATTGGAAACAATACAGGTGTTTTTAGTGCTTTAACATAAGAAGTCATAGATTAATAACATACACAATAATATTTTCAACAAATGTTTCAGTGTGAAGCAGAGAAGTTTCTCATGACCTGTTTAAGCCCACTATCATAAGTTGGTGGGCTTTTCAAATCGCCCTACGTCTGTGGTCCGTCCATCCATCCAAGAACATTTTTTGTTATTGTTATTTCTATAGAACTACTTGATGGATCTTTCTTAAATTTCTTAAGTAAGTTCCTCTTTGTCCTTAGTTGTGCCCATTTGATTTTGGGTCTGTTCAGGAAAAAGGAAATGGCCGACAGGCAGCCATCTTGGATTTTGACTTTGAAAGATTGTAATCACTATTTCTTGAGAACTACAGCATAGATCTTTCTCAATTTTCATGTGTATGTTTCTCTTGATCCCTAGTTGTGGCTGTTTGATTTTATGACCGATCAGAAAAACATAATGGCAGTCGGGCAGCCATCTTTGATTTCTCATAGTAAAGATTTTAATCTCTATTTCTTAAGAAGCACTGAATGGATCTCTCTAAAATTTCATACATAAGTTCCCTTTGGTCTCTACCTGTTCCTGTTTGATTTTGGGACTGATCAGATGAAACAAAATGGCTTCCAGGCGACCATTTTGGATTTGGCAGGTAAAGGTTATCATCATTATTTTTGCAAAGGAATGTTAAAATTTCTTATCATTAAGAGCAAAAACAAAGAAGAGAAATGAAGGGAAAAGATCCAACTTTCAAAGAGCAAACAAAGATCAGACAATGGTGGGTGTCGAGATCCCTCTGGGATCTCTTTTTTCTTATGGGATTTCTAGTTTTTGTATTGCCTTGGAACTGTAACAACATCATAACACTCATATATTTTTATTATTCAGGAGCACATGTCATACTTGCAAGTGTCCAAGAGATGCTCATGATATCTACAACGAGAATTTTGTAAATGTTCGGGACAGATTGGGATGGAAACGAGAGGATGACCCAAACTCACAAGTCACCAAGGACCAAACAATAAAGGAGGGGTACACATGGGTGCCCCCTGGCCTCTCAAGTGAACAGGTAAAAATTAATTCTTACCTTAAAGGAAGGATATGATGCATACCTGCCAACATTCCCGATTCAGTAAGGTGTTTCCCGATTTTCACTCCCCCGCCCCGCCTCCCGATCAGATTGATAAAATTTTGGGTAATCTCCCAATTTCAGACATCCTGCTGAGTAGATCATCAGTAACCTTGCTATATTTGTCAAATTGGTAAGACTGACCATCTGGCCACATAATCAATGCCTAGCTAGGTGAGTACACTACCCAATTATCTAATTAGTGCTACCCAATACCACTTTGCTTGGGAGCACACTTCTACATGGCTGATTTTTCCCTACCTAATTAATGGTAGCCCGTTGGTCAGGACTCAGGACCAGGCCCTAGTAAGTAGCTGATTAAGATGAGATCATTATACAGAGAATTAAGTAGTTATTACCATGTTTATACTACCTATTTCGTCAAATAAAAAATTCAACAAGAAAATGGTTTGAAAAACAATCTTTTTGATGTAACAATGTGCAAGCATTCCTCTATCAATACCAGAAATTTAACCACATTAGTCCTTTAAAACGTTGGTATTATGAGTAAAAAATCAGATCAAAGAAATATTTCACTAAGTTGACTAAAATTTCAAGCATGTTTGGTTCTCCACAAAAAAAATGATAATGGTCTTAGTATATATTTCACAGTAAATTAAGAAATTCAAATATCATAGACCATTAGATCTAGATTAAAACATTTTGAATTTTATGAAACAATCTATCTTTTTTTGTCACTCTCAGTAACATTTTAATAAAAATGAAAGCTTAAAATTTCATGAGATGATTGATATTATTTTTTCCTTTTTTCAATAAAACAAATTCTTTCAAAAGCATGATATTTAGAAATACATATCCTTACTAACAACCAAAAAGATGATCATCAATCTTAATATCTGTTATATTATGTGAGTTCAATGAGAACTGAGAATTGAAATGAATAAATTCCAAGTTGAACCTTATTTGCAAAAAAAATTAAGATATGTTTTGTTGTTTTAGTATAGTAAAGCATGCACTTTATCAATATAACGTTATCTAGATGTATTGATTAAATATACATTAATTAATTTTTCCTTTGTCACAAATGTCGCGACGTGCAAGGTATTGTGGCTATACAAAAATGTTTTTGACACACTTTCTCCGGTGAGAATTTAGAAAAAGTTGGCAGGTATGGCCATGGGTTCTCCAATGGCCTCTTGCATTAATTTTGTAAAATTATATTTTAGTTTTAGCTCCATCTAGAAACTGTATGCTTCAGTGACCTTGACCTCTTCAGTGTTGGAATGTGTACCTTGTTTATATAAATAATGAGTTAGGGGGTTACTGGTGATCTTGTCAAGGTGATTTGTGTATGTTGTTGGTATAAAGATGATGGTGACCTTGTCAAGGTGATTTGTGTATGTTGTTGGTATAAAGATACTGGTGACCTTGTCAAGGTGATTTGTGTATGTTGTTGGTATAAAGATGATGGTGACATTGTCAAGGTGATTTGTGTATGTTGTTGGTATAAAGATGATGGTGACCTTGTCAAGGTGATTTGTGTATGTTGTTGGTATAAAGAAACTGGTGACCTTATCAATGTGATTTGTGTATGTTGTTGGTATAAAGATGATGGTGACATTGTCAAGGTGATTTGTGTATGTTGTTGGTATAAAGATGATGGTGACCTTGTCAAGGTGATTTGTGTATGTTGTTGGTATAAAGATACTGGTGACCTTGTCAAGGTGATTTGTGTATGTTGTTGGTATAAAGATGATGGTGACATTGTCAAGGTGATTTGTGTATGTTGTTGGTATAAAGATGATGGTGACCTTGTCAAGGTGATTTGTGTATGTTGTTGGTATAAAGAAACTGGTGATCTTATCAATGTGATTTGTGTATGTTGTTGGTATAAAGATACTGGTGACCTTGTCAAGGTGATTTGTGTATGTTGTTGGTATAAAGATGATGGTGACCTTGTCAAGGTGATTTGTGTATGTTGTTGGTATAAAGATACTGGTGACCTTGTCAAGGTGATTTGTGTATGTTGTTGGTATAAAGATGATGGTGACCTTGTCAAGGTGATTTGTGTATGTTGTTGGTATAAAGATGATGGTGACCTTGTCAAGGTGATTTGTGTATGTTGTTGGTATAAAGATGATGGTGACCTTGTCAAGGTGATTTGTGTATGTTGTTGGTATAAAGATGATGGTGACCTTGTCAAGGTGATTTGTGTATGTTGTTGGTATAAAGAAACTGGTGACCTTATCAATGTGATTTGTGTATGTTGTTGGTATAAAGATACTGGTGACCTTGTCAAGGTGATTTGTGTATGTTGTTGGTATAAAGATGATGGTGACCTTGTCAAGGTGATTTGTGTATGTTGTTGGTATAAAGATACTGGTGACCTTGTCAAGGTGATTTGTGTATGTTGTTGGTATAAAGATGATGGTGACCTTGTCAAGGTGATTTGTGTATGTTGTTGGTATAAAGATGATGGTGACCTTGTCAAGGTGATTTGTGTATGTTGTTGGTATAAAGATGATGGTGACCTTGTCAAGGTGATTTGTGTATGTTGTTGGTATAAAGATGATGGTGACCTTGTCAAGGTGATTTGTGTATGTTGTTGGTATAAAGATGATGGTGACCTTGTCAAGGTGATTTGTGTATATTGTTGGTTTATTAAACAGTAGTATACTATAGGGTACAATGTAAACACAATATACTGTTAGGGTTACACTAAGATGTATAATCTGAAGTGTATTGCTGCTGATAGGATGCATGGCTCTGTCTTTTGTAGTGTTATCTGCTAACAATTGAATACCAACACTAAAACAGTAAGACAGAATCTTGTAAGGGAATGTTTTATTTCAACACTAAATGTCAGGTTTTCACGCTATGATAAAAATATCTCATCAGGAACTAGAAGAAAAAATACAACAAACATAATGGAAGTTTGATTTTGGATGCAAAAAGCAGACGTGAATGAATGTCTGCCCTGTATAGATATGTATTATGTGCCAAGTTACTTCTGACATTGCTGAAGAACAGTTTAACCCGAAATATTTTGTTCCTTCTAAACAACAAAGGCAGGTAGGGTAAACATCAAGTGGTAATTGGGTGGTGCTACTGCAGGGCGCCACATCAAAGGATTTGGCAGACTGCATTTACCATTTCTGGGTACATACAGGTTAATTACTTTTAAACAAGAACAGAGAGGCAGTGCACCTACTGGTCGTTAAAATGTATTGGTTTGTTAGAAAGAGCAATGTAAACGAGATGAAATCACATTTTCATACAAACACATTCTTGTGATGGCTTGTGAAATCACTATCAGTGAAGATTTATTTAAATTTGCCTGGGGTATTAAGTCCATTTATTTAAACACATATAAATGATTTCTCTTTTTCAGCAACTAGTGAGTGTTTAGGCTCACACCAAGGCACCTTAGATTTAGTTTGGGAACCATGATGTTTTGCTAAAGAGTCGTAAGACAGTTGAAAACTTGCACTTACTGTGTAGAATTAAGGGTCATGCTATTGTTTTGTATTGTAAGATCAGTTAGATTCATTCATAGGTGCATTGCTGTCTGAATGTTGAGTGTCTCACAAGTTAGAGAAGAGGTGATGGTAGTAGATCATTTGTTACATAATCGTAACAATGCATATTCATGAGCTTCACTCTTACAGTACATCAGTTGATTCACCACCAAAAACCTGAATGTTATGTCTGATTTAGCTTAATACTTAACCTGTGAGGTTTGTTTTATATATAACCCCAGTCTTTCGTAGATTGTGCACTACTACAACATGCCAAAATCCATCTAAATACACATTTTTTTTGCGGAAAATGAAAAACAGCACATTCTGTAAATTAAATCATAGTGTTGGCAGTTGTATTACAATGTGTCAGCAATGTTGACAGTAGCCAAGGGTTGATGATACTCAGAAATACCTCCAAGGAAGTGCATAACCATGTATTCATGGCAGGGCAGTTTGCAGATTAACCTGACAAGCTTCAAACTGACAATGATCCTGTTCTTTGCTGTCTGATTTTGTTCCAATTAGTTGCAGTTGTTACGTTACAGATGTAGAACTAATAACACAAACAACATAATATTATAATCTCTCAATGGTATGTGTCGTTTGGCTTTATCTTAAACCACGTTTGGTTTCTTTGTCCTCAGGGCACAGACGTGTTTAGTGTAAATAATCATTTTTTAACAATTTTTATCTTGCTTTGTCAACAAAAACTCTATTTTTGGCTGTGTTTAGTCTGCTAGGAGCAATTTGTAGGAAGGTTAATTTGTCTGGAAAATAGATAATAAATTTTTAAAGATTTCGGCAAGGTTGTGTTGCAAAGGATATTAATCATCTTCATTGATAAAGAATTGATTGGTTGTCACAAATGTTTATGACAACATCACTGAAGACATTCTTTGATGAAACTGACAGAACTTCGAAAATAAGTGATTTTAAACAATCCACAATATATACGAAAGGATAGGCGATGATTTCGATCAATATATACCATGATAAAACTTCAAGATGAAAATTTAATTCAACTGACGCAGGTCATGATGAAGACAGCAAAGAGAGAATGTATTGATTATTCAGTGTGGACTTATATTTTCAATTTTTGTATTCTTTTAGTCTTGTTTTTCTTCAGATTTATGCTCACATCATATCAACCACTCATAACTTCCAGGTCAGCTTTATACTAGGTCAACAATGAAACAAAGTCATATTAACCACTAAATACTTCCAGATCAGCTTTATACTAGGTCAACAATGACACAATGTCATATTAACCACTCATAACTTCCAGGTTAGCTTTATACTAGGTCAACAATGAAACAAAGTCATATTAACCACTAATTACTTCCAGGTGAGCTTTATACTAGGTCAACAATGAAACAAAGTCATATTAACCACTAATTACTTCCAGGTCAGCTTTATACTAGGTCAACAATGACACAATGTCATATTAACCACTAATTACTTCCAGATCAGCTTTATACTAGGTCAGCAATCACACAATGTCATATTAACCACTCATAACTTCCTGGTGAGCTTTATACTAGGTCAACAATGACACAATGTCATATTAACCATTCATAACTTCCTGGTGAGCTTTATACTAGGTCAACAATGACACAATGTCATATTAACCATTCATAACTTCCACGTCAGCTTTATACTAGGTCAACAATGACACAATTTCATATTAACCATTCATAACTTCCTGGTGAGCTTTATACTAGGTCAACAATGACACAATGTCATATTAACCATTTATAACTTCCAGGTCAGCTTTATACTAGGTCAACAATGACACAATGTCATATTAACCACTAATTACTTCCAGATCAGCTTTATACTAGGTCAGCAATGACACAATGTCATATTAACCATTTATAACTTCCAGGTCAGCTTTATACTAGGTCAACAATGACACAATGTCATATTAACCATTTATAACTTCCAGGTCAGCTTTATACTAGGTCAACAATGACACAATGTCATATTAACCACTAATTACTTCCAGATCAGCTTAATACTAGATCAACAATGACACAATGTCATAATTAACCACTCATAACTTCCAGGTCAGCTTTATACTAGGTCAACAATGACACAATGTCATATTAACCATTTATAACTTCCAGGTCAGCTTTATACTAGGTCAACAATGACACAATGTCATATTAACCACTCATAACTTCCAGATCAGCTTTATACTAGGTCAACAATGACACAATGTCATATTAACCATTTATAACTTCCAGGTCAGCTTTATACTAGGTCAACAATGACACAATTTCATATTAACCACTAATTACTTCCAGATCAGCTTTATACTAGGTCAGCAATCACACAATGTCATATTAACCACTCATAACTTCCAAGTCAGCTTTATACTAGGTCAACAATGATGCAACGTTATTCGAATGAGCAAGTGTTCCAGAGTTATAAGGTCAAGGTAACAATTATTTTTATCAAGAAAATTAATCAAATCAGTGATTTAAATTGCAAAGAATTAATTTTTACAATGATGTTTAATCAAGGTCAAGGTCACTGAAACTATTTTTTGAAAGTCAGCAGCACTACTCTAAATAATTTCATTTCTTCAGGGATTTTAATAAACTTTGCTGAAAGGTTAGTAAAATTAGGAAAAGACATTGAATGAGTTTGCGTTTAGAGGTCATGCACTGTTGCTGTTTCTAGAAATTGGTCTCTGTTTGCTATTGCTGTTGTTTATTTGCTAGATTTATTGCCTATGAACAGTCAGGGTCATTTTGAGATCGATCTCCCTGTAGAAGCTGATAGCTATTTCACTGAACAACATATGGGAGGCCTGTTGCATGCCATCCGGAGCAATTAGGATGAAGTGTCTTGCTAAAGGACACAACCACAAAAGCACAGATTGACAACTTCAAGCTCCAGGGATAAGGAATGTCAAACTGTGCTCCTCAGATCTTTTCTTGAGGTTCTGTTCATCAAAACTCTAACCAACTGAGCGGAGATACAGACATTTTCTAGTCCTTTGGCAGTCCTTTTGAATCACAAAACAGGCTCTACCTTTTACTTTGAGTCCAAGGTTATCTGTTATGTGTTCGTCCTCTGGGCATATTGTATGATAAATACTGTATAGCTGGTAATTTTTGAAGATCAAAATTTTTATAATTTGTTTTAAAGTGATCAAATTTTTTAAAATTTCTTTTAAAGCGATCAAAATTTTTAAAAATTTCTTTTAAAGTGATCAAAATTTTTTAATTTCTTTTAAAGCGATCAAAATTTTTAAAAATTTCTTTTAAAGCGATCAAAATTTTTTAATTTCTTTTAAAGCGATCAAATTATATTAAAATTAAAATTTCTCACTCTTGATGTAAGAAAGGACATCTTACACACAGGTGTGTCATTATTTTATGGACAAATTTATGAATAACCGTCTATTCTGTATTATGAAAAGTGGTTCTCTGTAAGACCGATCTGAGGTTGTGGTATCCTGATGTTCCTATATTTGTTCAGAGTTTCAATTTCAGTCTGGGAGTAGAAGTGTCGGTGTATTTTGATTTATATTCATGAGAATGGGTTATAGATATACAGCACTAGTCAGAACAGATATTAAATTTTATACATTTACTGATATTCCCAGGACAGAGAGTTTTAAATAGTAAATGTTGTACACTAGAAGTTTACCTCCGTGATTTCCCCTGGTCTTATCAGTATAATTACAAAATTATAAAATCATTTGGATGACTGACAAATTTGTGACAGGTTTGAAATATTGGAATGGTTGATGACATATAAATTACAAAAATAATTACCAGGTAACATCTATTTGTTTAGAAATCAAGTATCAGCTGTAAATGAGTTATGCAAATTTGACAAATTAAAAGTTAGGGGGTGGGGTAAAGTATTGCAGGGCAGAGAAATAGCCCTTATTTCTACTGATCTGTTATAGGTATGAGTGGGCTTATCAACAACCCCAAGTTCACTGCCAGATAAATAAGATATTGTAAAGGAATCTGTACAACTATATAAATACAGTATAGTGAATATGAAATTTGCTTGTCATCTGTTGCAGCGTTGTGTTCTGTCCGATATATATTACAGTAATATGAACATTATAGTTTTAATGATAATTGAAGGAATTTTTAAAAAGATTTTTGTAAAGTAAAAAAATGTCATTTTAAATACAGATCCAAGACTATATGGACCAGCTGCCGAATAACAAAATTCCCGCCATCGGCTCCCCGGGGGAGAGGTACAGGGACCTCCAGCTCATTCGTCAGTTGCCAAAACAGGATCTTGCTGTCACCTATAACAACATGCTGGCTAACGCTATGGAGAAAAAAGAGTATAAGATATTCCAGGAGCTGCGTGACAACATTGCCATGGATATAGGCCTTGTCAAGGAGACTCCAGTCCTGACGGTAAACATATAGGGCTCATGTGTTGTGATTGTTTCCTGAACTGTTCAAAATTTATAATTTCTTGAAATTTTGAAAGAAAGTAGGGCTTTATCAATGTACAATTTTAACGAAATTGAAAGGAGATGGAGAAAAGGTAGGATTGAGGAGAGCCGAAAAACAGCTGTTCACAAATTCTGAAGAAGATATTCAGACAGTGCATCTTCGTTTCAGAGGCAGTCTCTTGCTATATACTTGATGGTTTACCAGCTGAATCAGATTGTTTTCTTTTTTTTCTGTATAATCAAATTTCTTATTAGTTAACTAAAGGGAAATTAGTCAATCATTAAATTCAATAAATTATTATCAGGTTTGAATCAACCAATCATCAATTCCATCTCTAGCCTCACCTATATTCCTCCTTTATACCTTTTATAGTTTCTTCTACAAATTATAGTTTCGGGGTATACTATAAGCTTAAGGTCACTTACTATTTTTAGAAAAGCATTGTTATCACTCTAATCAAGGTATTCCTTGAGGGATTTGATCAAATTTCATATACTCATTACCTCATTACCTCATTACACATGAAAATGTCTTTTGCAAGTTCAAATTTCAGGGTTGCTGGGTCAAAGTCACTATTACTATTTATAGAGAATAATAAACAGCTAAAGCTGCTTCATTCCTCACAGGATTTTGATGAAAACTCAAACACTAACAAATTACTATAACACACTGTTATATATTACTATACACCCTTGATGATGAAATGTATTGTCAGACTTATACTTACTGCAGTTTTCCATTAAAATCATACAGCTGCAAACAAATTGTATGCTTTCTTTTTCTTCAAATTAACACCAAAGAGCTCCTTTTTTCATAAATCATTACTGCGTAACTTGTGGAGGTTGGCGTGGGATGAATCTATCTGATATTCTTTTTACCCAATCTATATTCATTTTCATTTGGATGATCAATCTCTTTTTGGTGATTTTTCTTCATGCTGGAAAAAAAAGTTAATATACAACTATTCCAAATTTACAGCTTTTACAACATAAATGTACCAATGTGTTTTAAATCAATTTTGATACCTCTTGATCAAATTCTACATCTAAATTGTCCGAGATTTCCAATCTCAAACTCCAAGCACTATAAACCATCTCCTTACATAAATACTGGTATCTGTTCCTCTGACTATACACCATCCCCTTACATAAATACTCTGACTGTACACCATCCCCTTACATAAATACTTGTATTTATTCCTCTGACTATACACCATCCCCTTACATAAATACTGGTATTTATTCCTCTGACTATACACCATCCCCTTACATAAATACTGGTATCTGTTCCTCTGACTATACACCATCCCCTTACATAAATACTGGTATCTGTTCCTCTGACTATACACCATCCCCTTACATAAATACTCTGACTGTACACCATCCCCTTACATAAATACTCTGACTGTACACCATCCCCTTACATAAATACTGGTATTTATTCCTCTGACTATACACCATCCCCTTACATAAATACTGGTATCTGTTCCTCTGACTGTACACCATCCCCTTACATAAATACTCTGACTGTACACCATCCCCTTACATAAATACTGGTATCATTCCTCTGACTATACACCATCCCCTTACATAAATACTCTGACTGTACACCATCCCCTTACATAAATACTGGTATTTATTCCTCTGACTATACACCATCCCCTTACATAAATACTCTGTCTGTACACCATCCCCTTACATAAATACTGGTATCATTCCTCTGACTATACACCATCCCCTTACATAAATACTGGTATCATTCCTCTGACTGTACACCATCCCCTTACATAAATACTCTGACTGTACACCATCCCCTTACATAAATACTGGTATTTATTCCTCTGACTATACACCATCCTTTTACATAAATACTGGTATTTATTCCTCTGACTGTACACCATCCCCTTACATAAATACTGGTATCATTCCTCTGACTATACACCATCCCCTTACATAAATACTGGTATCCATTTCACTGATTCTATTATTATTATGTACATAACTATCATTTATCTTCTTCTGTGCATTATAACTGAATTTATATACCTCATTGATGTCTGCTTGGTGCAGTGTAAAGCACAATAATATAATAACCTATCTAGAGACTGTTTAGACATAGATTATTGCTATTAGATGTTTATAAGGAGCCACTATTTACAAAATTGTGTTGAATATTGTGAGGCGGAGTCAAGCACTCAGTCTTCCATAATCTAATTTTATCAGATAAATAATATTAATTTCTGGTTCTAAAAATAACTTTGCTACAAAGTTGATATTTTACATTTGCTTAGTTCACCCTTGAAACCATGTACTTTTATGTTAAAAAAGTCCTCTGTGTACACAAGCTGTACTACATGTTATTGGGAACAGATCCCTCACTGCCTCAATCTCCAAGCTACACTTCCTACTGTGTGCTTGATCATATATGCACTGCATTCTTTTGAAGATGATTTATCACACCAAATGAAAGGTAAAAATACCATGTGTAACATTTTGGTACTTGGTATAATGTTTAATAATCTTTAAAACAAATTCACACACATGCTTGAATGGCAATTACAAATATTCCTTTATGCAAGCCAGAAGTGTAACAATTATTTCTTTTTCTTCAATCTTATGATTAGCTTGCAACATCTGGCAACAGTTAAGACAGTTTCATCATTTGATATTTGTAATTTATTTCACCCAACCCAGTCGCTGTAATTTTGATTAACTTTTATGATGAATACAAATATGAATGTAACCACATGTGTATATTTACCTGTATCAAGTATTTACCTGTATATTTACCTGTTATAGGTGTGTTAATTGGATATTTACCTGTTATAGGTGTGTTAATTGTATATTTACCTGTATCAAGTGTGTTATATTTACCATGAAAACATGTATTACTTGTATATTTTTCTGTAATGATTGTGTTGCCTATGTTTTTACCTGTAAAAGATGCGTTGTCTATATATTTGTGTAAATGTATGTTACCTACGGTATATATTTACCTGTTACAGGTGAGTTACTTGTATATTTACCTGTATATTTATATGTAATGCATTTGTTACAAGTATATTTACCTGTTACAGGTGTGTTACATGTGTAAGGGGGAGATGGAAGAGGGAGACCTAGCTGTATATGCCAGTAAGATGGGCCAGGATGTATGCTGGCACCCGGCCTGTTTTGTGTGTGTCCAGTGTGAAGAACTGCTGGTGGATCTGGTCTATTGTCTACACAGTAAAAAACTCTACTGCCAACGACACTATGCTGAACTCATTCGACCTCGGTGTCCTGCCTGTGATGAGGTAAGAGTGCTCTCCCCTACATCATCTTTATGTTTCAGCATGGGATGAGTATCATTAGGATAGCAAGAGTTATGGCCCCTAGATTGGCTGCTATGTTGATGAAATTTGTATAGGTTATTGTACTAATTGATGAATGTGAACTAATTCAAGGTAATTGAAATAAAAGTTAGAGATACTTGCTTTTTTGGAAGCATTTTCATAATGTAACTAGCAGAAAAAAACAACAGAGTCTCTGCTTCAGTGTTCCAGTCTGATTCTTCTTTATTTTAGATATAGACAGAAGGCACTCATCTGCAATATATTAAAAACATAACCTTCAATAGAAACACAGACAATAACGCACATTTAACAAATTGAAATAAAACATTGAGAATGATCAACACTTTGACCAGCATCATACAATTGATGACATGTTAATCAATTCATTCATACAGTTTCATTAATGGTTCACATCTCACATATGATTATATACATATTTGTCATAAGTTACACCGAGAAACAGTGTGTATTAACATGACCTACGTCTACAGTAATTAGAACACTGTTAACAAAATTACTTATCCTAAGTAAGACAGACGAGGCATAATCACATAATACTTCTTCGCTCTATGATATATCTTGCTGAGATGAACACCTGAGACGGACAAACAATCTTTTTCAATAGAAACTTACAATATATTTACATGTAGATACAGGTAAAATATTTATCAATAGCAGCGATCACAAATACATTAAGTTGTATTAGCACATGCTATCGTAATAGTCCCTACCTTTCATTCCAGTTATACATCGTAAATCATAAACAGATATATTACTTAGAAATCAAATTGCTAACTCAGACGAGTGGAAACAGGTACTAACTGTCTGCTGTCAGATCTCAAACTGATCACTGAAATTTGATCGGTCAGCACAATTTTTTTTTTTCATGAATAAACTTTAAATCTTTTATCTGCCTGGTGCAATCTACATGTAGAAATAATTCTACATGTGCTGGATGTTTGTCTTGTCCTTTGAATTACACTATTACTAATAGAAATTTTGATGTTGCAATGTTTAGAGATGACATTTATCATATTTTCATTCCTGTCATCATGTGATACTTAAATAATGTGACAATTTGAATGACCAGAAATAATTTGACAATTTGAATGACCAGAAATAATGTGACAATATGAATGACCAGAAATAATGTGACAATTTGAATGACCAGAAATAATGTGACAATTTGAATGACCAGAAATAATTTGACAATTTGAATGACCAGAAATAATTTGACAATTTGAATGACCAGAAATAATTTGACAATATGAATGACCAGAAATAATTTGACAATTTGAATGACCAGAAATAATGTGACAATATGAATGACCAGAAATAATGTGACAATTTGAATGACCAGAAATAATTTGACAATTTGAATGACCAGAAATAATTTGACAATTTGAATGACCAGAAATAATTTGACAATATGAATGACCAGAAATAATGTGACAATTTGACAATTTGAATGACCAGAAACAATTTGACAATTTGAATGACCAGAAACAATTTGACAATTTGAATGACCAGAAATAATTTGACAATATGAATGACTTGATGAAAAGCCACATGATGGAGTTATTTTCATTTCTATATGCTGCTTTGTTGTGTTGTGTTGTTTGTTAATTTGTCTGAAAGTGCAAAGAACATTCCTGAAGTATTCACGACTGACCAAAATGTCAACATTAACAACTTCACTGGAGAATTATAGCAAACAATATCTACCTGTTGTTTATTTTTAACTTAAACCTTCACAGATATTTTAGTAATTACATACTTGTGAATGCCTGAAATATTGGATGATTACATTCTCTTCTGCTTTCTTTATTGTAATTTTTATTACACTTTTATTGATCCAATAGTGGGGGTAGATGTGTTCCCAGAAAGAAATTGGTCAGGTGGCCCAGTGTACACACCTACCTTTCACACAATCAACCAGGGTTCAATTTCCAATAGGATGGGAAACATGTATGTGGGGTCACATGACTGATAATATGTTTTGTCCCTGGGTACTCCCACTGTATGAGCAATCAGGTGCTTAAACCATGCCAACTACAGAGATTGATAAAAGTTGATACCTTGTTTTTCTATTGTAAAATAAGGTTGTTTCTTAGATGTAGGGCCAGATTCAGTTATAACCTTACCCCTATTTCTGCCCTGTTTCTTCGCACTTTAACGAATCATGGCTTATACCGGTATAATACAGGTCCTATAGAGTATATTGACAAGTCAAAATATAAGTGTGTTTGTCGGTCAGTTTGGAAACATGTGGTCCATATATTATACCAGTAAAATACAGTAAGGTCCTATGGAATATATTGTCAAGCCAAAATAAAAATCTGTTTGTCAGTCAGTTTGGAAACATGTGGTCTATATATTATACCGGTAAAATACAGTAAGGTCCTATGGAATATATTGTCAAGCCAAAATAAAAGTCTGTTTGTCGGTCAGTTTAGAAACATGTGGTCTATATATATTATTCCATCAGCTGAGTAACATAGAGATGATTAGACAGGACATATACACACATCATTATGTAATGTCTCCAGATTTCCTGTACCAGTATCTGGCCCGTCTACCCCCTCATTACGTGTAATATTGAATTCCAATAGTTCTTCCATTCTTCCTTGCATATTTCTTTTTAAAAAGGATAGATACCTGGTGTTTCTTCCCTCCCCTCTCCCCTTCTTTTTTTTCTTATCCTTTTTCTGCTATAAGGAAAATTTTTTCCTAAAAATTCCCTTGCAAGTCTGTTGTAATTTGTCACTTTATAAACTTCAATCTTCATCAGTAATGGGGTTATAGCTACTTCGAAGATTTTCTGGATGACGAAAAAGTCATTCTGACAAGATGTTGAAAATGGACAATATTAAAGAAAGAATTTTCAGGATACTGTAGGTCTAAGTGCACAACATGCTAAAAATTTTCATTCTGCATCTCATACCTATCTTATATTCAGAAGGGTGTGGTTTAATTAAGATACACAAGAGAAATTAAATCATACCTTCAATGCCTATTGCACAAATGTAAAGAAGATATTGAGTCTATTTCCAGTTTTAGAAATGTTAATGATTTTTTATGGTAATGCTTTGTAAATTAACTTTACCATTCCTGAAACAGTACTGAAATGACATTGTCCCCACTCACCCCTAAAGATGTCACTTTATGAAATTTCAACAGTCAGACATCAAAGCTGCTATTGGATGTTATCTTCTCCCTACTTCTAAGATTCATTTTTTCAATTTTCATTTTATTTTTTTCTCAAAAAAAAAAGACGAAATATTCTTTTTGGTTAGTTTAGCTTGTCATGCTGTATTCAAACTCAGTCAACTAAACAACTGGTTTACCCACTGGCAAATTTATGTAATAAACACAGATAAAAGGACAATGTGATTTATGACTGCAATATATATCAATACACATTGTGCACATGCACCAAGCAAAATGTGCGTGACATCCCTTTGTGTGGGCTATCATGCACATTCATGTAAATGTCGGCTGCCTTCACACAGCAAACATATGCTTTCTATAAATATTGCTATGCTATAGATTTATTGGTGAAGACTTGTAACTGATGCGCAACATGCATGTTCTCGGGGGGGGGATCAGATGTACGAATTAGTCATCATGGTCAATTTTTGATATTTAATGAATTTTTAAAAAAGATATTGTTTGTTTTCCAACTTGTGTAATGTCTGGTTCTTTGTCTTTGTATGTGACAAGTACTATGCTAGATGTAATTTATCACCCCAAATGGCAGACTTTCCTCTTGGCTTTGGGAGGTCCTTTTTTAACAATGTAGTTAAAATGCAGTTGAGATTGATGTGGTAGCAAATCAAATATGGATCTGTGAACTTTGTTTATTCCAAATTTGTCATCATTTTTTTTTTTTTTTTTTGTCTGCTTCATGTGCAACAAATTTTGTCTTTGTGGACAAGAGAAAGAATTTATGTTGTAGAAACTAGCTATTTCATATTTGTGACTTTTTTAACCTTTGGGGGAAGGGAGATAACTCATGTTGACATGAATGAGGTAAGAGATTGACCATAAAATCAACCACTGAGATATATCAGTAATGCTTGTGCATTATCAAAATGATTTATTTTTTTATTGTGGTAACTTCAAAACATTCTGCAACATTTTAGAAATTGTTGTGCTAAAATGTCATTATTTTCATCAGAATCATTAGCATAATTTCCTTTCTAATAAGGTACTTTAAAAGGCAGCCACATTGATACACAGAATTGTTCCTTTGAGGCATACAACAATATGAAATAGTTGTACATGGATCAGTTTGTCTGAAAGTATTACAACAGCAACTAGATTTGATAAATATATCTATATTAGTTATATCTCCTAACTCAAGCCTGGGGTAGGAGAAGGTGAGGGAGGGGGAAATATCTCAAGTGTGGTTTGATGCTTTTGACCTTATGGCAGTATGTGTTTCTCAGGAAGCATAGATCAGAATCTTGTGCGCTGATGTGGTTGTGTCCCTGGGCAAAACACCAGGTACCACTAGGGGACTCTGTGCCTCAAAATGACCCTGGCTGTTCATTGAACAATATATCCAACAAAACTTAGCAAAACCATTTTGAATGAAGAAACATGAAATTTTGGAGAAACTGATTAAACTGGTATGAAATTATGTACACGTCTTTCATAAACAGTGAACTATTCACAATATGAATATTTGTGGCTTACGCTAATCAATTATTTGAAGAGAGTTTGTATTTTTATGTTTTGTACCTGAGCTTGTAAACTATCCATTTGTTGATAACCAAGCTGACAAAGTGTGATAGAATGTCCATGGTCCTGGTTGTCAGGACATAACAGCGTTGTTACGGATTTCCCAGTCATTATATGTGACATCAATAAATGTAGTAACCATAGCTACTATGTCTCTAGTAAGGTAGCTTGACCCTCTGGCTTCCCAACCACAAAGTTATTACCTCATGAAAAAATTCCTTGGTGCTTATGTCACCTTCAGAATGCAAAACTTTTACCTGTTT